AAGCGAGAAGCAATTACAGATAAAAAGAATCTGTGTCACAAAAAGACGCTTTCAAGAGCCCCGTTTTCAGAGCGGCGATCCGGCTTCCTGAATCTGCACTGAGCTGGTGGTGTGAATTTATGGCGGAGCCCGATCAAAGCAAGTGGTCCAGCTTAAACTAATCACAGGTATTTCCATAACACAGGCACACTGGGTGACGTGCTGCAGTTCTTTCCACACCTTTAAACTGTGTTTCATCAAGTATGGAAAACATGGAATTACCAAACTGTCCACCGCATCCTGATGACCACCATCCATCCGCCTGCACTGGGTCACTGCGTGTGTGTGTGTGTGGGGGGGGGGGTTATAGAAACTGTGTCAGGGATCATAAGTGCCAATAATCATGACACATCTATTGTAGCGCTGGGCTTGGCTCTGTGCTAATCGATTTCAAACCTCTGCCTCATAATGAAGTGTTAATCTTTTTAATTCCTCTGCCCAAGGCCTAAAAATCTATCAGAATGCAATCAGCTGGTTGGGAGGGGGGGGGGTTGGGGGCGCTGTACAGGAAAGCCCTGAGGTGGGTGCATCGTCACATGTCCCAAAAGGCTTGCCTCCCCCAGGTGAAAACCCTCCCCCTCTACAAACCAGACAGTGTTTAACTGGTCTTCTTCCCTGGTTTTGTGGTACGTAGCAGGTAGTTATGCAGGTTACTGCATAACTACGGTCTGACTAATTAATAACAGCTTTAGTTATTTATTGGTCAGCAGTCAAATTGACAAGAAATGATTCAAGGACACAGCGTTTTTCAATACATCACTGATGTATTATTAATTGGTAAGACATACATGTGTATTAACACCACTGCTGTACTTTAATGATCTCAGAAGGGTTGAGGGCCGTTATTGACCTTAAACCAGTGGTTCTCAACCTTTTTTGCACCGCGACCCAGTTTTTACCAGGTCAGCTCAGTGGAAACCCTATATCAAGTACAGGTTTAAATTAATGTGATCATCAAGTTTGTAGTGCACTCTGCAATTTACGCCAATCAACACCTATTGCACAAATCTGACTGGACGTGCCTGTGAATTTAACATTTTTGCAACTGTGGTATGGCTTCTTGGATTGGTTGAGTGTTCACTAGTTTTGCGCTAATTCAGACCTTCATGTAGGAGCTGCAGAGGTGATTATCTGAGCAAACCTCAGACAGTTTTAAGATCTACGAGTGCATCTTAGAAAAAGCTTTTAAGTCCCCTGCTGGCATCACAAGCACAGTGCTGATCTCTCTGGTGTTCAGGATGACGGGGTTCATTTAAGAGGCAAAAAACCCAAATTATTTTAGCTATTTGTGGGACTAGTCCTTTCAAACCATCAACACACGCAAACCAGCCCTTTAAAATGATGGAATTCATTCTCTTTGCCTGTAAAACCATATATTATCGGTCTGGGTTGAGCTGTGCTCTAAGCCCTCAGGTAAATAACCGTGTTTGGCCCGACTGTTTGTATTTACCTGTGTCTCCTGAGCCTGGGCTCTGATGAGTGTGTTTGCACAAGCTGGCAGGAGGCCTGTAATCTGCTCAAGCCTAATCACCTCCCTGCAGAACCCGTCCTGACATTCATCCCCGATAAGCTGAAGAGGGGAAGGACCTTTAGGGTTTGGACGACAAGTGTTCGGATTGAAGCGGCATTCGGGGCACGGCATGGCATGGTCGACGTCCAGAGGAAGCGCCGGGAAGAATTAGCCCAAGCTGCCGTCTCACATCATTGCAAAGCACTTATCTGCAAAGACACTGGCGGAGTATATTGGAATTCTGAAGTTTAGTGGGCAGACTGGAACTTTAAAGCTTTCTTCTTCCCACACGCCGGCCCCTTTCCGTGCTACTGGGTCAGTGATGATCCGGCCCAACGTAAGCGGCTCTCTGAACCTCTCCCTGCTGACACTGCACTCCCCGAACTGTGGGAGGACAAGGGGCCCATCCGTCTAATCTCCTTACCAGGGAAAAACATCTCTGTGCACCTGATTACAGCCAATCCAGCTCACAGAGCACACAATACATCTGGGCTGAGGACCCACCACCGCCCCCTGGAGGCCGGCCAGCTTACTGCCTAAGCTTTGAGATGGCAATGAACCCTTAAAAAAGGGAAGGCTTTTTGGGATGTAAGGATGGCCTGCCACTATTCAATGACCTGAAATCATTCAGCATGTAAAGGATCATTTAGATATGGTCATTATAGCTCAGGGCTATTCAAATCACTGTCCTCAAGGTCTGAACATTGGTGATTTTCCAGCCGTCCTTCTCCTGTGAGCCGGGTGTGAAGCCTCTGTGCCCAATCAGAATCAGTAATTATTAAAGTAACTACCTACAGAATGAAACTGAGGGTCAGGCTGCTACACTGGCCACATTGATGCATATGCTCACAGTGCCCTCCTCCCTCAAAACAGTGGAATTAGTGCGTCCCTTTCGATTTGATAGAGCACTTGATTGACAGCGCCACCCTCCACTCCTTGCTGCCCAGCCACCAACCATGTCATTATTCTTCTGTGTGTGTTTATACACGTGTGGCTGTGTGTGTGTGTGTGTGTGTGTGTGTGCCAGTGAGTAGAGATCTATCGCATTTGTGGGGTTTCGAGAAAGATAACAACCCCTGTGGAGAACAGATGCCTTTTCTACGCTTCATCTTTTACCCTTCATCATTTTCTTAAGAAACCAAAAGTGCCGAAACTTTTTATCTTTTTCCGGAGTTTTCACCGCGCTGTGGGTCAAGAATCCATAATGGGGTGATAGCTGGAGCAGGTGGGAGGTCCCATCGTGGGCAGGACTGCACACGCGCGCCCTGTGTGTCTCGGGGGGGGGGTAAATGTCACTATCTTGCAAGGACAGGGCACCAGGAAAATGTGAAAATAAAATGCTGTGGGGACGCCCCCATGAGACAAATAGGTTTTTTTATAACATGATGTGCTTAAAAAACATTTAGTTCGATATGTCAAATGTCTGCTAAGTTTTAGGTTTGGGGTGCAGGACTGTGAATTAATTAAAGTGACATTTTGTTTAAAATAACTGTTAATTAATCTGAATCACATTAAAATAGTAGCCAATGGGAGTTTGTGTGCGTGTGCGTGTGTGTATGTGTGTGTGTGAGAGAGATCATGCATATATTACATGGTGGGGACCAAATGTTACACGTTTTAAAACCCAAAGTACAGCTGCAGGGTCACGGACGGCTTTTGGACGGTCTGTGGTTAGACCCCTGATGCCCCATTGCATTGTGGGTAAGGACTCCAAATGGACCATCCAAAGTTCTACACATGGCGGATTCTATTACAGGACCCACGCTCGCCCAATTAAGCGATACTGTGACACAGATGAAGAGCGGGGCTAATGGGCCGCAGCCCGATTGGGTTTCAGCGTGGGCCGTCCCTTTAAGCGAGGAGACGCTCGCTCACACGAGCCGTGTGGCTGAAGGCTATCGATCCACCGCTAAAGGAGGTTTTCTCCAAAGACCCAGCAGCCATGTAAGCCTTGTCCCACCTGACACCTCCTGCCCACAAACCTTTTTATCTTATCTTCATACTCCACCCTGCTTCATAGAACTTGCCAAAAAATGGACCTGGACTTGCCTTCAGTCTATCATTCATAAACCCCAAAACAACCACTTTCAGAAGAATAACCTGAATGAAAACACAGACGTCTCTTAAAAGTGCCCAAATCTGGCGCATGCCCACCAGGTGACCCTCCCCTGTCGCCCAGAGCTCCCGTCGTCTACCTGGGATGTGCTTGGCCCAGCCGATGATGACCACCAGCTCACGGTCGGCCAGGTCACACAGTGTGGTCAGGGCCTTGATGTCGCTCTCAGGCATGCTTGGGTCCGGCATGGCATATATCTTCTCCGGTTCGGCCACCAGCAGGTGAGACACAATCTTCGTCACTGGAGGGAGAGGAGGGAGGGTAGAAACATAAAAGCGTATGGGCACAGAAAGGCTAGCGGGAGAAGTATTCTGTCATTCTGCTAAGCGGGGGGGGGACTCTGCGAGAAGGACTGAACCTTAACGTCAAACATTTGAGCCAAACGGATCCGACAGATTCTCCACGGAAGTCATCCTCCCTCCCATGTGTGCAAGGGAGCCTTCAAATGCAGTGTCTCATCTCATTTAACCCCCCCCCCCCCCCGTGTCGGTTAACGTAACGTACCGTATATATTAATGCCAGCAGCGAGAGGGCAGCCAGAAGGCGGCCAGGTGAGTTTTTCGTGTGCATATATTGCTGTCAGTTAAAGTGTACATTGCACTGAAAGCTGGGGGCAGCCATCTGTGATCCGGGGGCCGTTTGTGGCCAACTGCTACCTCTGAGGATTCTTCTGAGGTGAGAGCGCTGGTGGATGTAGTGGGGACGTGATTTTGAGGGAGGGGGTGACTCACATGGCTTTTTGGCAGGGGGGGGAAGCGTCAGACCTAGGTAGGCATTGTTCTCTGTGTCCATCCGTCTCTTGTACTTCTGTCTGCCACCTCGGACGCGGTCCAGGCGCACACCTGGGGGGGGGGGGGACAAAAAAGCTGTCAGACAGGTGGGGTGACAGAGGGACGGTGACAGAGGACCAGGCAGCAGGCTTGTGACAGTCCTGTCCAGCGGACCTGTGTGCCTGGTCTCAGTCCAAGGTGCTTGTAATAAATACTCAGACAGGTACCCAACACTCAAACTCACACACGCTCCCCCCAGACCACCCCCCGCCCCTCCCCCCTGCCCGCCATTCCGAATCGCATCAGCCAGCACTTATCAGAGGGACAAATAAAACTGAAAACATAAAAAAAAAACAGGTGAGGTGACTTGAAGCAGAGGTTTCTGTCAGCATATGGTCAGTAGAAATGAGCCTCGGTGGGGGGGGGGGAGGGGGGCATCGCCGGCGCGTGTCACCAAAATGAGCGTGTTCCCATATGTGTTGCACGCCTGGTTAGTCTATTGTGACATGGCATATCCTGGCTGAGCTCTAAACATATGAATATTTAACGCGAGGTTATGATCTCGCTGACTGCATCTCTAATTATTGAGCTCTTTGGGGTCGGCAGGCAGCATACAAATGAGAGAGCAGCTACATCGCACTCTGCCCCCCACCGCGGCCCAAGGATGGAACGTTCCATTCCGGCCCATAAATATACAAGCTGACACGGCGTGCTGCTCGACGCTGCCGGTTTACAACGAGTTTCCTATAAAGTTACGTAACTCCCCCCACCCCCATGCCCCCCTGCCCCAGCTCAGGACCTTATCACCTTGTGACGGTAGTATAATGCTCCGGTCCTGTGCAGCTGGAAATAAGTAATGTCACATCAGCCCATAACATGTGTTATTTATAATCTCATTAGAAGATAAGGGGGCTTTCAATTTGTTTCTCTCAGATTTGTACGAAATTATATTTCTCAAAGGCAGCGTTTGTTAGAAAATGTTCATTTTACATGTTTGTTTTGTTCGTTATAAAAAGTATTTTTTTTTAATCAGCTTCCGGGACCCTGAAGCTCTGATGCAGGTTATGATGTCATATAGGGCTCGCCACGGGATTGGCCCGAGCTGTTTGTCCTACTGTTGTCCTTTTCGTAAAGGCACTTTCACCGAAGCCCGGCAACAGTCACACTACTGTATTGGAGTGGGGGTGGCAGGGGGGGCACCTAGGCTACTGAGGCTTATTATTCATTTTTGATGCAGAGGAGGAAGGCCTTAAGTGAAAGGAACAAACCATTAGTAGTGTGTGTGTGTGTGTGAGCAGGTTTACCTATCCTTATGGGAACATAATGTCCCCATAACGTGATAAGTATCCGTTTTTTTTTCCCTTATGGGGACCGGTTTCCTGGTCCCCATAAGGGAAAACTCTATTTTATAAAAATCGGTGACTGCTATTTTGTTAGGTTACTTATGGTTATGGTTAAGGCAGGGTAGGGGTTAAGGTTGTCATAGTTAGCGTTAGCATTTTTCCCATTGAAATGAATGAGCGGTCCCCATTAGGATATGTATACCCTACATGTGTGTGTGTGTGTGTGCGCAAAGCCTCAGCATTTCATCCCTGTGAGTTGGTGCTGCTGCTGACACACCCTCCTAATATAAGTTCACGCCACCCCCCCACCCATCCGCCAGAACCACCAATAGAAAAAGATCAATTCGTTATTCGCGTATGTGCTGTATGGGGGATAGATTACAGAGCAGCTGATGACTGTGGAAGGGGAATACATCCATCTACCCATCCCTCCATCCATCTATCCATCCATCCATCCATCATCATCTTGGGCTCTCATTTCAGATGGTTCGGTGAGAACACGCACTGTTATGGTGAGGGCAGAGTACCTAAGACCTACCACAAGGGTGTAGGAACTGGGAAGGGCATGTACCCCCTAGTTTTAAATTCGTATTAATTCATCCCTATAACAGAAGTTAAGTCAGGTACTAGAAGCTAGTGATTCCATTGGATATCAGTAATCCAGCACTACAGGCTGATGACTAACTGTCACTGTGTCACTTTGGAGCCACCAAGATTGACTCAAGTTCTGACCACATTTTGTGGCTCTTTTTGGCACTTGACCTCTTCTGGTTTCTGATTGGTCAGTAGGCCATTCAACACCTTTCTGTAATTCCTTTACAATCTCTTTACATTATTCCTTTGGGCGGGGATAATGTAAAGTGCTTTGTGACAATGTAATGTTGTGAAAATGCCCTATACAAATAAAACTGAATTGAATTTAACTGGGGAAAAAAACTTTAGGTTTACACTTTAAATTATATAAACCAATACATGGTGCAGATCGACACCGACATTTTACATTTCTGGAATTTCACCTGAATCAGCTTTCAGGTTAATTAATTTGACTGAAACGAATCACTCTCTTTATTACTATGATACATTTGGGGTGGGCAGGGGGTAAAAAAAATAAAATAATAAAGGCATGATATTAACTGCTCTGTGTAAAATTTCTGCTTCATTGACAGCTTTACATTTTATTACTTTTATGATGTTTTTGGTTTATTTTATGTATGCTATAATGTTACCCATAAAGGGCTATGAATGAATGAGACAGAATAAAGCTCAAATGAAAGTATTCCCTAATCTGCCTGTGTTTGCTTTCAGAATCAAAATCCAAAGGGTTACTTTGTAACCTGTGATTAATACCAGGCATGAGTCAATGTAATCAATTTCTTTTAATGGCTTGTTGATTTTTTTTTTCTTTGTCAGTGAATAGAATAGAAGACTGGGGGTGCGGGGCGACACAGGACACAAAGCAGTAATAAATGGAAAACGTGCACTGGGCAGGGATTGGGCACTCAGAACAGCGATTCCGGCACAGACCGCGTCCATCCGACACTCATCCCGGGACTCGTATGCACGGACAGGTAAAGTAAACCGCATTATCTCGCACAAGCGGAATCCAGAGATTTCTGCTACTTATATAAATTCTTTGATTCCCTGGAAACACAAATCTGATTAGGATTGTCTTTCAATTTCCTGACACTGACAACCCACTAACCTAATTACCAACAATCCCCAACAGGGACTCCCTTCTTTCCCAGCAAACACTAGTAGATGATTTTATGGCAGCCAGCTTGCAAGAAAATTTCTCCTAACAGCCATTTTTCATTTTCACATTAATAATCATGTTGATATAATGAGCAACAACAAGCGTTTTCAATACTTGGACTCTCAACACTGGGGGGAGGGGGGGGGGGGATACTGCAGATTTGACTTTCCCCAAAATTTTAATCATGTAAATTCATGTATGCTTCTTAAGAATTACAGATTAATAGCGGAAATTAATGCTTCTCTCCTCAGATTTGAAATGTTGAAAACATATCTAATGTTCCCAGTCAGTTTTGTCAAATAAGCGCCCTTTTCTGAGCAATGCAATATTCCCAAGTCTAGGGGAGAGTGTTTTCTCTGCATAGGAATGGACTCTGGCGGGTGGAAGGTACCACACTAACGGAAAATTTGCCCCCCCACCATCCACAGTGATGGAAAATTCCCCTCCCGTCCAGTCCCGAGGTGTCCTCCCTCCCTCTCTCTGCCCCCCCCCCCCGCACGTCCCCAGAGACCCGTCTCCACGTGGCTTGGCCTCGTGTCCGTGACGGTCGCGGCGAAGCCAGGGTGACGATTCTGATGTTCCCTTTTTAATTAGGACCGCACCGGCCATAATTAACAGATGCTGACAGGAATCAAAGCCCAGATCTAACTGGGCTCGTTTTACACCCGGGGGGGGCAGACGTCCCGTTTGTTTCGGTTCGTCTCACTTCTGCCGGCCGCCAGCTGGTGCCATCGGAATCGGCGTCTCATTTGGGTACGGAGAACTGCGGTGGATCCCCGAACTGCAGATTTCTCAGGGGGGGGGATGGGAAAATTCACCTGATCGGGGGGAGGGTCGGCGTCAGGATGTTTGTGTGGGTCTGCGGCGAAATCGTCAAAGGGAACA